CACATCACATGACTCGGCATCCATGCACCTAAATATTTGACCCACATGTCTGTGTGTTGTGTTCCCATTCAACAGCAACTATGCCGGATATCCTTACCGCTCCTTCACCTGCGTTGCCAGTGGTGAGTGCTTCTTGATAATTGGGAATCCTAGTTGCTTGATTGTCCTGGGAGAATCCTTGTTGCTCGACTATCCTTGGTTTCATTTCCGCTCCTTCCAACAGCGGTTATGCTGGGTATCCTTACTGCTCCTTCACCTGCGCTGGTGTTGGTGAGTAACTAGGGCACCTGAGAATCCTTGGTGCTCAATTTTCCCTGGTGAGAGATTTTTGAGAATTCTAAAAAATCTCTCACCAGAAGTCTCATCAATCATCCCTGGAATCCCTGGTGCTTGATGATCCTCCTCGGTATCCTATGTGCTATATTTTCGTGAGAATCCTACGTGCTCATTGTCTTAGGTGGTTGCATTGGGGAACTCCCTCTACGCGTTTCTCTCCTGCCCTCCCTCGCAGACAAGTGTGCAGCCGTCAAACGTGGCGGAAGGACACGGCACGTGGCAAAACTGACACGGCTGTTTTTGAGGCACCTCAAAAACGTGTTCCTCTCCTCCCCTCCTCTCCTCCCCTCCTCTCCTCTCTTCCTCTCCTTCCCTCCTCTCCTCCCCTCCTCTCCTCCCCTCCTCTCCTCCCCTCCTCTCCTCCCCTCCTATCCTCCCCTCCTCTCCTCCCCTCCTCTCCTCCCCTCCTCTCCTCCCCTCCTCTCCTCCCCTCCTCTCCTCCCTTCCTCTCCTCCCCTCCTCTCCTCCCCTCCTCTCCTCCCCTCCTCTCCTCCCCTCCTCTTCTCCCCTCCTCTCCTCCCCTCCTCTCCTCCCCTCCTCTCCTTCCGTCCTCTCCTTTCCTCCTCTCCTCCCCTCCTCTCCTCCCTCCCCTCCTCTCCTTCCCTCCTCTCCTCTCCTCCCCTCCTCTCCTTCCATCCTCTCCTCCCCTCCTATCCTCCCCTCCTCTCCTCCCCTCCTCTCCTTCCTTCCTCTCCTCCCCTCCTCTCCTCCCCTCCTCTCCTCCCCTCCTCTCCTCCCCTCCTCTCCTCCCCTCCTCTCCTCCCCTCCTCTCCTCCCCTCCTCTCCTCCCCTCCTCTCCTCCCCTCCTCTCCTCCCCTCCTCTCCTCCCCTCCTCTCCTCCCCTCCACTCCTTCCCTCCTCTCCTCCCCTCCTCTCCTCCCCTCCTCTCCTCCCCTCCTCTCCTCCCCTCCTTTCCTCCCCTTTCTCCTCCCCTCCCTCGCAGACAAATGCGCAGCCATCAAATGTGGTGGCAACGGCACGTGCAAGGTTGACACTGCTGGCGTGGCGTCCTGCGTTTGTGACGCTGGTTTCATTCTGCAATCCGACGGCAAGACATGCATTGGTATGTGGGCTGCTGTGTCCTGCTGTGTGCTTAGCCTTCTCACTCCCTCTCTTTCTCACTTCCACTCCCGTTTTCTGTCTCGATTTTTTCTCTTCCACCCCTCTCTTCCCCCCTCTTACTCTTGTCGTTCTCTTTTTGGTCCTGTCACAACCCTTCCCATCCGTTCGCAACCCTCCCCATCCCTTCGCAACCCTCCCCTCAGAGAGTTGTGGCACCAAGAGCTGTGACCCCACTTCTGATTGCGTCAAGAACGCTGCAGGCGTGGCGTCCTGTGTTTGCAAGGCGGGCTATCAGAACGTTTCCGGCACGTGTGTCGGTACGTGCTGTAGTGTCGGTACGTGCTGTAGTGTCGGTATGTGCTGTAGTGTCGGTACGTGCTTTAGTGTCGGTACGTGCTTTAGTCACCTCAACTTATCCGGCTTATACTTGGCATCTGATTGGCTTATATATGACCAGTTCTGTACTCTGCCTTCCTTTCTGCTGGTGCCGATGCATCCTGTGGTCCCTTGAGTTCTCTGACCGTTGAAAGTCACTCTCTTTGTACCCGTTGAAGCTAAGGCCCATGACCAATGATTCCTGATTACACCTCTTGCTCCTGTGCTGCTCTGTAATTCACTATTCTGTTCCTGACCACTATTCTGTTCCTGACCACTATTCTGTTCCTGACCACTATTCTGTTCCTGACCACTATTCTTTTCCTGACCACTATTCTGTTCCTGACCACTATTCTGTTCCTGACCACTATTCTGTTCCTGACCACTATTCTGTTCCTGACCACTACTCTGTTCCTGACCACTATTCTGTTCCTGACCACTATTCTGTTCCTGGACCCACATGCCCTCTGCTTCCTTTGACTAAACTTGCAGTGTCTCTTTCTGCCTCAACCTTCTGCCTCTACCTTCTGCCTCAACCTTCTGCCTCTACTTTCTGCCTCTACCTTCCTTCTGCCTCTACCTTCCTTCTGCCTCTACCTTCTGCCTCTACCTTCTGCCTCTACCTTCCTTCTGCCTCTACCTTCTTCCTCTACCTTCTGCCTCGCCTCTCATCCCCCAGGCCCAGCCACATGTGGCAACTGCCCCACTGGAGCCACTTGCGCTGTTGCTTTCGGCAGCATTCCATACTGCGTCTGTCCTGCCGGCTATGGCATGACCAATGCTGGTTGCGTCAGTGGTAAGACCAATGCTGGTTGCATCAGTGGTAAGACCAATGCTGGTTGCATCAGTGGTAAGACCAATGCTGGTTGCATCAGTGGTAAGACCAATGCTGGTTGCATCAGTGGTAAGACCAATGCTGGTTGCATCAGTGGTAAGACCAATGCTGGTTGCATCAGTGGTAAGACCAATGCTGGTTGCATCAGTGGTAAGACCAATGCTGGTTGCATCAGTGGTAAGACCAATGCTGGTTGCATCAGTGGTAAGACCAATGCTGGTTGCATCAGTGGTAAGACCAATGCTGGTTGCATCAGTGGTAAGACCAATGCTGGTTGCATCAGTGGTAAGACCAATGCTGGTTGCATCAGTGGTAAGACCAATGCTGGTTGCGTCAGTGGTAAGACCAATGCTGGTTGCATCAGTGGTAAGACCAATGCTGGTTGCATCAGTGGTAAGACCAATGCTGGTTGCATCAGTGGTAAGACCAATGCTGATTGCGTCAGTGGTAAGACCAATGCTGGTTGCGTCAGTGGTAAGACTAATGCTGCTCTTCTGAGTCGACTCAAAAGCCATTCCCTATTGCGTCTGTCTTGCCGTCTGTGGCATGTCCAACGCTGGCTGCTTCTGCAGCAGTGGTAAGATCCATGCCGCTTTCTTCCCAGCTAAAATCAATGCTGCTTGCACCCCCATCATTGTTTTCCCCGCCAGCCCAGCCCCCCTTCCCCTCTGTTAATTCCCATGTTATCTGCCGCTTCTAGTAGCCATCCCCACAAACTCTTTTACACCCCCATCCCCCTCCTTTCAACCCCCGTCTATGTCTCCTTCCAGACGCCACCCCCACTGTGTCGTCCACCAGCGTCACCTTCCACGATCAGACCAGCTACACCATAACCCCCAACACCTACACCCAACGCGTGCCCTGAGACGGCTGCACTGACCTCCGTGCCTCTGTTGGCTCGAGCGTCCGGTTGCTGTGGCGTTGCCACAATACTCAACCCTCCCTATGCCCATTCCCCTCTCCCCCCACTCCCCCCCACTCCCCCCTTCCCCCCCTTACCCCGGGTGTTCTATTAACAGGAGCCACGCCTACCGTTTCGTCCACCAGCTTCACCTTCTACGATCAGACCAGCTACACCATAACCCCCAACACCTACACCCTGCGCGTGCCCTTCGACGGCTGCACGGACCTCCCTGCCTCAACTGGCGCAAACGCCCGGTCGTTTTGGCACATAGACTGGGTGCCAGGAGGGGCTGGGAACTGCGTGGCTGTGAATCAATTCAGCCAGGCGGGGTGTGCTGGCACGCCTACTCCGCGCCCTGCCTCGACTTCCGGGATTGGTGCCGGGGGTTCAGTGTGAGTCAGAGCTGCTGGGGGGGTGGGGAACTGTGTGTCTGCGAATGCGTGTGATAACTTATAAGGAGTATGTAGAGGTGCGCACCTTTCTGGAGTGGAACCGGAGTGAGTGCCAGGGGGTGGATGTGAATGGATGTGATGTGATGTGACACAGCCTCGACGGGAGTCAGGAGATGGCATTAAGCACCATGTTTGTATTCAAGACACACGCACCACACGCACCACACGCACATATGACACATGACACATGCACGCAGCACACCCTTCCTTGCAACAATTCATGTTGTCTCTCACCGTCAGCTTCTTGCTCCCTCTAGCTCTTCCTCGCTTCCTTGCCCCCTCCCTGTCCCCCCTGTGCTCCACCCACACCCCTCCAGATCTCATCTTCCCACCTTTTTGGCACTCATCCCTTCATCTGTGCATGCATGCATTCAAAAATAACCTTTATCGGCATGTGTATGCCCCCCCCCTTTCCACCTCCCCCCCTTTCGACAGCAATTATTATCCGTATACTTACCGCTCTTTCAGCTGTGTTCATTAAGTCCAGCAGCCCAACTTCTAAAGCAGCCGTCGGAGATATTGAAATTTGAAGGTTTCTGACCTGCTGGATGCTGCCAGCTTCGAGGGCAACAATGGTTCTTTCTTCATGGAGTACGGTCGTTGCTAGCCCCCCCCCCCATCCCCCTTCCTCCCCAGGCTCCTCCCCTCTCCCTGTTTGTACTATGGGTGTGTGAGTGTGCATGGCAGGGTGAGATTAGTAGCGTTGAGTTTTGTTGTTGTATGGATGTGAATCTATCATCATGTGTATGATAAGCACATAACATGGTTAGATTCCAACTATTTCAGTAGCTAATAATGCATATGGTATTTTTTCAATACTAAGGAGGTGCAAAAGAATGGACGGACAGGTGTCGGTGGTCTGTCCATCGACAACAGCAGCGACGCACGGCAAACATGCAAAATATCAGAGGGTTTTGTTTTGTTTTGTTTTGTTTTTTTGGCTGAAGACCAATCAATCTTTGCAGGCCCCTTCCCTTCCCCTCAGTTCCACTGACCAATCAATCTTTGCAGCAGCCAGATTCGAACCATGACATGTGCATGGTGAGGCGCACCTGCTTCAATTCTTGAGCTCTCCGAGTTACTGGCAGCGTGCAAGGGGAGCTGTAAAGTCACGGAGGGGCAGTGACGAAGTTGCACTGGCTAGGCCTAGAACTCATTTCGTGAGCTAGTGTAACGCATGGCCTCTGCACAGTACGCGGGCCTAGAAACGACCTTCCCAACCGCTTGTTGGAAATACCTCAAGGACTTAAGCGTTTCTTAAGTGTAACACCACACTCGAGGAAGATCGTAACGGGTACGCGAGTCAACGGAGGTTACACGAGGGGATGGACAAACAACACGAAAGGACTCGAAGGGTCGCAACTGGAGGTTGCGACTGACAGTTACAACTGCAAAGATGGTAACCGAAGCGACAATCGAGTCGCTGTGCGACTCGATAACCGCCCTTTTCTCAACTGTATTCTACAACTGCTTTACTTTCCTACTTTCTATATATTGCTGTATGCTTGTTCTTTTAATCAATCACTTGTTCTCATATACTAGTACAAGGGTTCAACTACCTCAACTTCCGCTGCACTACTCAAGTCTTTTACAACTGGGACTTAGTCTCTGGAAAGATCCTAAGGGCATTTCTCAGCCCAACACCGCTTTCCACAAATCGGCTACCTATGCTAGGTAGCGCGAAATGGGAAGGAAGGGTTGGGAGGGGAGGATTGGGATTGGTCGATACTTGGGACCAATCAGATTTTAGTTGTACAAATTGAGTTGGCGAAATTCCCAACTCACGCGATGGTTGGATTTGTGACCAATCAGAACCAGGGAGTTGGTTGGCGGTGCCAACTCAACTCGAATATTCTTATACTGTACACTATATGCTAATCTGAATATATTGCTGTAAACCTCTCATTGGTTGGAAATCCAACCCTTTTGCCACATAAGCTAGCTCACCTCCTTGGAGCCATGGAGGAGGTTGAGCAGCTGCTGGGAGTCATTGGAAGGGGTCTGAGCCGAGAAGCTCATTCTCAACTTCCCACTCCAAGAAATCAATCTTGAAATGGGATTTTTCTCTAAGTCATGAGCTCTTCTCACAAGCTTCCCTACACTAGTGGCTTCTAGTGTGATCTCCTAAGGGAAGCCCTACCCAACCAGAGTCTCAAGCACTTTTCTTCAAGGGCCTTCCTCAAGCTTAAGCTATCTCTTAGAGGAGGTTCCTCCTAAATACTACGCTAGGGGATCGTTAGTTGATTTTGTACTCCATTTTATATCCTAGGATCTTGGATGTTGGGTTTGGACTTCAACCCTTGTTGCCCATGATATAAGGGCAAGGATTGTTACAGCTAAGGCGTAGTCATTCCTGACCCCTTGGACCAGCCTTTTTGCTGCCATGTCGGGTAAGAACAATAGTATCCGCCGATCGCTCCTTCCCTAGATTGGATGTAACTACTCTCCTCTTACTCTGGCTCTATCTCTGGCTTACAAACTGAATATTCAACTCACGAGGGTAATCACACTCCAATTTCAGGCCTTGGTGACCCCCCCCGATTCTTCGCGCTTGTGAGTCGTGACCTGGCTGGGACGGGCACGTGGGTGCTGTTGGTTGGTGCCTGCTGGAACCAGGCAGACGGCGCAATACACTTTCTCCTCCCCAGACCTGGCTCCCATATCGCCTCCTAGCTCCAGATGTGGCAGGAGGACGCAGGTTTGGATCACCACGTAAAAACGTACTAAATCGTACTGCAACGTTCTTCAGGCTTCACATTGACCAGGCGCAGGTCCGGCGCAGGGGCTATGCCGCCTTCACACTCAATGCCCCACTTTCCCCTTCCCTTCCCCTCAGTTCCACTGACCAATCGATCTTTGCAGCAGCCAGATTCGAACCATGACGTGTGCATGGTGAGGCGCACCTGCTTCAATTCTTGAGCTCTCCGAGTTACTGGCAGTGTGCAAGGGGAGCTGTAAAGTCACGGAGGGGCAGTGACGAAGTTGCACTGGCTAGGCCTAGAACTCATTTCGTGAGCTAAGGCGTAGTCATTCCTGACCCCTTGGACCGGCCATTTTGCTGTCATGTCGGGTAAGAACGACAGTATCCGCCGATCGCTCCTTCCCTGGATTGGATGTAACTACTCTCCTCTTACGAACCATTTTATTAGGTTGTTTTATGTTAATCATTGCGGGTTCCCCTATTTCCCACGTGTGACTGCAGATCCGAGGTATCTCCACGGGTATCCGCCTCCGCAGGGTTACCCAGGAGGTTACCCACCGCAGCAGGGTTACCCGCCCGCGGGATACCCTCCACCTGCGGGGTACCCCGGCGCTCCTCCCGCCGGTTACCCGCCACCCGCGGGGTATCCCCCGCAGGGTTATCCGCCTCCCGCTGGGTATCCCCCTCAAGGATACCCTCCTGCCGGTTATCCAGGGAAGCCTGAATTAATCTATGATTGTATGGCCACCGGTATCCACGGGCACCGTGGGTTGCGCCGTGGCTCACGCGGAGCGCAAAAGAAGAATCTAAGCTTTAGGGGGGAAAGGGGGGAGGAGAGGAATGTAAGAGCCGATGGTGGCTGCTGGGAGGACTGCCCTACGCCCAACGATTTCGAACTCCACGGATATGCAGGTTTGCTCGACAGATCGATCCATTAATTTCCCAGAGCGCTGAAGATTGAGTACCCATGCGAAATGGCTGTTGGAAGGGCCGCCACCAACTGGAGCGATATTAGAGGGGTTTTTATTTTCCAGGTTTGCAAGTGCCGTACACCCAAGTGTTTGTTTAAATCGCACATGATAGAATCGGCTTTTTGGCCAAGTCTGTAAAGTCACACTGCGGCGAGTCCCGTCAAAGGTGGGTTTCTCAGGCAGCGGACTGTACAGCTTGTTTGTCCCTGCGCCAGATAAAGACCGTCGACGGAAATGGCGATATTAAAGAATACTTGGTGTATTTGTGAGCCTACTGTAGCAGAGGAGAAATAGAGTCTGTTCTGTTCTTCCTCCCTCTGTTCTTCCTCCCTCTGTTCTTAATCACTCTGTTCTTACTCCCTGTGTTCTTACTCCCTCTGTTCTTACTCCCTCTGTTCATACTCCCTCTGCTCTTACTCCCTCTGTTCTTCCTCCCTCTGTTCTTCCTCCCTCTGTTCTTCCTCCATCTGTTCTTACTCCCTCTGTTCTTACTCACTCTGTTCTTAACTCCTCTGATCTTCCTCCCTCTGTTCTTCCTCCCTCCTCTCTTTCTCCCTCTGTTATTTCTCCCTCTTTTCTTACTCCCTCTGTTCTTACTCCCTCTGTTCTTACTCCCTCTGTTCCTTCTACCTGTGTTCTTCCTCCCTTTGTTCTTCCTCCATCTGTTCTTACTCCCCCTGCTAGTACTCCCCCTATTCTCACTCCCTCTGGTCTTACTCTCTCTGTTCTTACTCCCTCTGTTCGTCCTGCCTCTGTTCTTCCTCCCTCCTCTTTTTCTCCCTCTTTTCTTCCTCCCTCTTTTCTTACTCCCTCTGTTCTTACTCCCTCTGTTCTTACTCCCCCTGTTCTTTCCCTCTCTGTTCTTACTCCCCCTGTTCTTACTCCCCCTGTTCTCACTCCCTCTGGTCTTACTCCCTCTGTGCTTCCTCCCTCTCTTCTTCCTTCCTCTGTTCTTCCTCCCTCTGTTCTTACTTCCTCTGTTCTTCCTCCCTGTGATCTTCCTCCCTCCGCTATTTCACCCTCTGTTCTCCCTCCCTCTTTTCTTACTCCCTCTGTTCTTACTCCCTCTGTTCTCACACCCCCTGTTCTTACTCCCTCTGTTCTTACTCCCTCTGTTCTTACTCCCTCTGTTCTTACTCCCTCTGTTCTTCCTCCATCTGTTCTTCCTCCCTCTGTTCTTACTCCCTCTGTTCTTCCTCCCTCCGCTCTTTCTCCCTCTGTTCTTCCTCCCTCTGTCCTTCCTCCCTCTGTTCTTACTCCCCCTGTTCTCACTCCCTCTTGGTCTTACTCCCTATGTCCTTACTCCCCCTGTTCTTACTCCCTCTGTTCTTACTCCCTCTGTTCTTACTCCCCCTGTTCTTACTCCCCCTGTTCTCACTCCCTCTGGTCTTACTCGCTCTGTTCTTCCACCCTCTGTTCTCACTTCCTCTGTTCTTCGTCCCTGTGTTCTTCCTCCCTCCACTCTTTCTCCCTCTGTTCATCCTCCTTTTATTACTCCCTCTGTTCTTACACCCTCTGTTCTTACTGCCTCTGTTCTTAGTCCCTCTGTTCTTCCTCCCTCTGTTCTGCCTCCCTCTGTTCTTAATCCCTCTGTTCTTACTCCCTCTGTTCATACTCCCTCTGTTCCTACTCCCTCTGTTCCTACTCCCTGTGTTCTTCCTCCCTCTTTTCTTCCTCCCTCTCTTCTGCTCCCTCCGCTCTTTCTCCCTCTGTTCTTCCTCCCTCTGTTCTGACTCCCCCTGTTCTCAATCCCTCTGGTCGTATTCCCTCTGTACTTTCTCGTTCCTCTGTTCTTACTCCCTCTGATCTTCCTCCCTCTGTTCTTCCTCCCTCCGCTCTTTCTCCCTCTGTTCTTCCTCCCTCTGTTCTTCCTCCCTCTCTTCTTCCTCCCTCTGTTACTAGCCCCCCTGTTCTTACTCCCCCTGTTCTCACTCCCTCTGTTCTTACTCCCTCTGTTCTTACTCCCTCAGTTCTTACTTCCTCTTTTCTTCTTCCCTCTGTTCTTCCTCCCTTTGTACTTACTCTCTGTGTTCTTACTCCCACTGTTCCTACTCCCTCTGTTCTTCCTCCCTCTGTTCTTCCTCCCTCTCTTCTGCTCCCTCCGCTCTTTCTCCCTCTGTTCTTCCTCCAACCTTTCTTCCTCCCTCTGTTCTTCCTCCCTCTGTTCTTACTCCCCCTGTTCTCACTCCCTCTGGTCTCACTCCCTCTGTACTTTCTCGTTCCTCTGTTCTTACTCCCTCTGATCTTCCTCCCTCTGTTCTTCCTCCCTCTGCTCTTACTCCCTCTGTTCTTACTCCCACTGTTCTTCCTTCCTCTGTTCTTCCACACTTCGTTCTTACTCCCTCTGTTCTTCCTCCCTCTGTTCTTTCTCCCTCTGTTCTTCCTTCCTCTGTTCTTCCTCCCTTAGTTCTTTCTCCCTCTGTTCTTACTCCTCCTGTTCTTACTCCCCCATTTTTCACTCCCTCTGGTCCTACTCCCTCTGTTCTTGCTCCCTCTCCTCCCTCTGTTCTTCCTCCCTCGATATGTTCCTCCTCCCTCTGTTCTTACCTTCTCTGTTCTTCCTCCCTGTGTTCTTCCTCCCTCTATTCTTACTCCCTCTGTTCTTCCTCCCTCTGGTCCTCCTCCCTCTGTTCTTCCTCCCTCTGTTCTTACTCCCTCTGTTTCACTCCACCTGTGCTCACTCCCTCTGGTCTTACTGCCTCTGTCCTTACCCTGTGTTCTTACTCCCTCTGTTCCTCCTCCCTCTGTTCTTACTTCCTTTGTTCTTCCTCCCTCTGTTCTTCCTCCTTATGTTCCTACTCCCTCTGTTCTTACTATCTCTGTTCTCCCTCCCTCTGTTCTTACTCCCTCAGTTCTTACTCCCTCTGTTCATACTCCCTCAGTTCCTACTCCCACTGATCCTACTCCCTCTGTTCTTCATCCCTCTGTTCTTCCTCCCTCTATTCTGCTCCCTCCGCTCTTTCTCCCTCTGTTCTTGCTCCTTCTTTTCTTCCTCCCTCTGTTCTTCCTCCCTCTGTTATTATTCCCCCTGTTCTCACTCCCTCTGGTCTTACTTCCTCTGTACTTACACGTTCCTCTGTTCCCACTCCCTCTGTTCTTACTCCCTCTGTTCTTACTCCCTCCATTCTTACAGCCTCTGTTCTTACTCCCTCTGTTCTGCCTCCCTCAGTCCTTACTCCCTCTGTTCTTACTCCCTCAGTTCTTCCTTCCTCTGTTGTTCCTCCCTCAGTATGTTCCTCCTCCCTTTGTTCTTACTTCCTCTGTTCTTCCTCCCTCTGTTCTTCCTCCCTCTGTTCTTCCTCCTTCTGTTCCTACTCCCTCTGTTCTTACTCCCTCTGTTCTCCCTCCCTCTGTTCATACTCCCTCTGTTCAAAATCCCTCTGCTCTTACTCCAACTGTTCTTCCTCCCTCTGTTCTTACTCCCACTGTTCCTACTCCCTCTGTTCTTCCTCCCTCTGTTCTTCCTCCCTCTCTTCTGCTCCCTCCGCTCTTTCTCCCTCTGTTCTTCCTCCTTCGTTTCTTCTTCCCTCTGTTCTTCCTCCCTCTGTTCTTACTCCCCCTGTTCTCACTCCCTCTGTACTTTCTCGTTCCTCTGTTCTTACTCCCTCTGATCTTCCTCCCTCTGTTCTTCCTCCCTCCAGTCTTACTCCCTCTGTTCTTACTCCCTCTGTTCTTCCTCCCTCTGTTCTTCCTCCCCCTGATCTTACTCCCCCTGTTCTCACTCCCTCTGGTCTTACTCCCTCTGTCCTTACTCCCTCTGTTCGTACTCCCTCTGTTCTTGCTCTCTCTGTTCTTCCTCCCACAGTATGTTCCTCCTCCCTCTGTTCTTACTTTCTCTGTTCTTCCTCCCTCTGTGCTTCCCCCCTCTGTTCTTCCTCCCTCTGTTCTTACACCCTCTGTTCCTACTCCCTCTGTTCTTACTCCATCTGTTCTTCCTCCCTCTGTTCTTCCTCCCTCCGCTCTTCCTCCTTCCGCTCTTTCTCCCTCCGCTCTTTCTCCCTCTGTTCGTCCTCCCTATTTTCTTTCTCCCTCTGTTCTTACTCCCTCTGTTTTACTCCCCCTGTTTTCACTCCCTCTCGTCTAACTCCCTCTGTCCTTACCCTCTGTTCTTCGTCCCTCTGTTCTTCTTCCCTCAGCATGTTCCTCCTCCCTTTGTTCTAACTTCCTCAGATCTTCCTCCCTTTGTTCTTCCTCCTTCTGTTCCTATTCCCTCTGTTCGTACTCCCTCTGTTCTCCCTCCCTCTGCTCTTACTCACTCTGTTCTTCCTCCCTCTATTCTGCTCCCTTTGCTCTTTCTTCCTCTGTCCTTCCTCCCTCTGTTCTTCCTCCCTCTGTTCTTCCTCCCTCTGTTCTAACTCCCCCTGTTCTCACTCCCTCTGGTCTTACTCCCTCTGTTCTTACTCGTTCCTCTGTTCTTCCTCCCTCTGTTCCTCCTCCCTCTGTTCATAATTTCTCTGTACTTCGTCGCTCTGTGCTTCCTCCCTCTGTTCTTCCTCCCTCTGTTCCTAATCCCTCTGTTCTTACTCCCTCTGTTCTTCCTCCCTCTGCTCTTTCTCCCTCTGTTCTTTCTTCCTTTGTTCTTCCTCGCTCTGTTCTTCCTCACACTGTTCTTACTTCCTCTGTTCTACTCCCCCTGTTCTCACTCCCTCTGGTCCTACTCCCACTGTCCTTTCCCTCTGTTCTTACTCCCTCTGTTCATCCTCCCTCTCTTCTTCCTCCCTCAGTATGTTCCTCCCTTTGTTCTAACTTCCTCTGTTCTTCCTCCCTCTGTTCTTCCTCCCTCTGTTCTTCCTCCTTCTGTTCCTACTCCCTCTGTTCTCCCTCCCTCTGTTCTTACTCCCTCTGTTCTTCCTCCCTCTGTTCTTCCTCCTTCTGTTCTTACTCCCTCTGTTCTTTGTCCCTCTGTTCTTCCTCCCTCTGTTCTTCCTCCCTCTGTTCTTCCTCCCTGTGTTCTTACTCCCCCTGTTCTTCCTCCCTCTGTTCTTACTCCCTCTGTTCT